TGAATGCCAGTGCCGGGGAAATGAACCCGCTCTTGAAGAGTGTTCCCACAATGGATGGGGAGTCCATGATTGTAGCCACAAGGAGGATGCCAGTGTCAACTGTTCGGGTACCCCATGTTATTTTCCAAATACACCAAGGAGCATGAAATCTGGAGCTGCTTAAATAAATATATATCATTCTGCCTTACGAAAGAACAGAATTTCATCGTCTTTTTTCTTTCTTTCTGTTTATATTAGGAATTCCATCCACTACAGAGAATCCTGTTTCCTCTGGTAAGCAATGGTATAGCTTTTCCTTGTGGTTTTTAAAAATAGATCAACATTATACATTTATTTGGAGACTGCAAATTCAATGAACTGTATTAAATTTTTAACAGATATATATCAGAATACAGAGATCTGCGAGCTTGTCAACTTATTTTGTTTCCATTACCCATTGTTCTTGTTTCTTTATTGAGAATGAAGGCAGAGTACTAAATTTGAAAATAGTGCAACAAAATACTATAATTTATATAATAAACAATGCAATAAGACTGAATTAAAAATTAGAAAAGAAAACAAAATACACTATACTACTTGCAATAAAGAATGCAATAACAATATGCACTTATACCAGATTCTGCCCTTTTTCGTCTCTCAAATGTCGGATTTCCCCTCACTTTCTTCCTTTCTGGCTGAGCAGCCTCTTTAATCTGTTTTCTTCTTATTTGAGGGATTATGGCTGTCTCATCTTGTCACATGATTATATTTTGATGCTGGCTCAGCTCAAGAACTTAAGGGAAGAGACAAAATCCCTTTCTTAACTTATGCTTCTGAAAATTGCACACGAGAGGCTTTTGAAAGTTCAGAAATAAAATATTTATTAATCATAGAGAGGAAAACGTCAGGTAGAATCAGGGGTAAAATGTCTGAAGTGAATCATTAATAACTCTACGGTAACTTAGTATTTTCACAAACTCCAGTTAATATGTTTCCAACAAGTAAGAGATTTAAGCATTTCAGAAGGTCTTAGAATCTTTGAGATGAGGGGCTTTGATTTCAGTGTCTGCTAAACATTCCAGTATAAGTTCTTGAGTTTAACTGACTCTTCAGGTTTCAGAAGGCAGGGTTACACTACCAAGTACCTAAAATCCTTCTCTAAACAAAGCAGGGATCACTCCACACTTTAAAATTATCTCCTTTTTCAACTGGGCAGGGAATTACTTCTCTAAACTAGAGGCTCTGTCCCTCTTTCTGGCACCAATGGGGGTCATCAGCAATCCTCCCACTCCTCCTTGCCACCTTCCAGTCCTCAGTCAGAGCTAAAACTTTCTTTCCAGCAGTCAGTTTCCAGCTCTTTCTTCTTAACTGACTATCCAATGAAATCCATTTGAGCAACCTGTCATTCAAAGGTTCTCTGACAAGGAGATGCACAACCCTTCTGTAAACCCTCTTCCCAACTACTTTGAGCCATTGACTGGAAGAAATGGTCTCAAAGCCAGCTGGAAGGAAAGTGGCTAGAAGATGGCCTGTGGAAGAAAAAATGTAAGAGTACAAAACATTAGTATAAGTGGACATCCATTCACTTACCATTTCCCCCAAACACTCCTTGCACCACTTTTTACAGGCCCAGAATCAGCTACCAGGCAACTTGCTGCCATGCAATTTCAATTACTCATCCAAGTGTGGCAGTGGCCACTGGATGATGTAATGACACACATCTCACCAGAACCCAGCAGCAGCCTCTGCACAATTTGTGCAACTTGGCCAGGCCTGGACTCACTTGAGTGACTTACTACTGCATTGTCACAGACATCCCTTTTGGGGAGGCTACTCAGGCTAGGATCTAGGAAGCAAGCTATCCAGTTACCTTAGTTGCCAGCCTTTAGTCCTCCAGAAACCATTAAGTAGGATTATCCTCCTACAGAATAAAAAGATAATCTGAAGCATTGAATCTTTTTTGTGTTTTTTAATTATAAAAGTGTATGTGTGTGTGTGTATGTGTATATATATAATAAGTGGCAAGTTTTAAGGAACACGTACATATATAAGTACAGCAGACTCTTTGACATCATTTCATGCTCTCTCTCCTCCTGGCTGATTCTACCTCCTCTTTTAAGCTAAAAGTTTATGAAATTTTCCACAAAGCTTTGCAGAGCAACATGCTAGGATTTTGTGACTTCACTGGCATAAACGATTTCAGCAGGCAAGATTAGCTCCTTCAGACAGGGACAGTGTGGCCTCCGAAAACTCCACAGTCTGTATTTTCAGAAATGCTGAGCGTGGCTGTCATGTACCATGAAAACTTTTAAGTCCTCAAAAGCCAGAGTAGTCATGACATCATAGATCATGAGAGCCAGGCACTGCCTGTGGCTGGCTGGGGGCTGGGTGCAGTTCTTCTTTGGTGCTCCGGCGTCCACAGCCACTGACATGCACATTATCCATAGGTGCCTCCCCCTCCCCTTCTTCCTCTGCTAAGTCTGAGTGAGAGCCAGGCGCCGCCCTTGGCTGGCTGGGGAGCAGCTGATATTCTGCACTCAGCTGGCTTCCTTGCGTTCACCTCTGCTAACAAGCCCCTCTTTGCAAATCTCTCCCTCTCACTTTCTTCTTCCAGGGTGGGGAAGATGAGTTTCAGGAACAGCTCTTGGCTGGTTAGAGCCAAGTTGCTCTTTGGTGCTGGCTGACTTAACTGGCCGAGTGTTGTTTGAATCTGAAAAGTACTCAGAAACGTGGAGTGATTTCAGCAGAGTACTTTTATTTAGCAGGAACAAGACAAGGACTGCCGGCTCGCAGGCCGGTATATATGCCCAGAGAAAACCACCACCAAAACACACCCCCTACTTCCTATAGGCTATTTACAGTAGCCGAGAGTCCCATAGGCTCTCGGCTGTGGACCTGGCCCTCTGATAGGTGCGGGCTAGGATCCGCTGGGCTATTGTTCTCCCTGAGCGAAGCTTCAGGGCTGTGCTTGACCGCATGGCCCAACGGTCGCGCACGTGGTAATGGTGGAGTACACTACACCCCTCCCCCCATAGTCCAGACTACCCACACACAAAGTCCTGGAGGTACGCTGGGGCCTTCCTGGCCCTTGTGGAACGACGGAGTTCTGGTGTGATGTTCGTGGGTGCTACCGGGGGGCCATGGCGGGGAGGTTGGTTGTGGTGTTGCCGGTGGCGGCAGCGCCGGAGGTTCCGGGGCGACCTGGGCTGGAGCGGGTGCTGGGGCCGGCGGCTCGGGCGTGGAGGGAACCGCTTCGTCTGACTCCGTGAACTCCAGGTCCTCGGGATCGTTCGGGAGGACCCACCGCCGCAGTTGGTCGATGTGGCGGTGGAGCAGTTGGCCGTCCTCGCAGGAGACCTCATAGGATCGAGGTCCTCGCACCCGTACTACTCGAGCGGGGATGCAGGGTGGCCCTTGTGCGTAGTTCCTGACGTAGACTGGGTCTTCCGGGAAGAACCCCCTTGCCGCTTGGTATGACTCGTTGTTGGTTCTTCCTCGGGGGCCCGGTCCGGATGTAGCCGGTCCAGCCTGGAGGTCAGCCGGCGACCTAACAGGAGCTCTGCCTGGCTCCGCCCCATCTCGGTGTGGGGGGTCATATGCTGACCAAACAGGAACGCTGCCAACTTGTAGTCCCAGTCCTTGCTTTCGAACCTGCGAAGCGCTTCTTTGGTGGTGCGCACCATGCGCTCCGCCTGATCATTAGTAGCCGGGTGGAACGGGGCTGACCGGACGTGGTGGATCCCGTAATACCTCGTGAAGTCCTGGAACTCGCTTGAGGTAAAAGCCGTCCCATTGTCCGTCACCAGGGTGTCCGGAAGGCCATGGCTGCTGAAGATTTGCTACATCACTCTGATGGCCGCCTTGGAGGAGGTTGATGGCACGGGCACCCCCTCCAGCCACTTGCTGTAGGCGTCGTGTGAGGCGAGCGAGGCGAAGCGCGGCTGGCGAGGCGAGCGGCATGGCGCTGTGGGGTGCGGGCCGGCTGTTAAGGCGAAGCTAGGTGGCTAGGAGAGGCAAGACGAGGCGCACGAGGCGAGAGCTGTGTGAGGCGAGCGAGGCGAAGCGCGGCTGGCGAGGCGAGCGGCATGGCGCTGTGGGGTGCGGGCCGGCTGTTAAGGCGAAGCTAGGTGGCTAGGAGAGGCAAGACGAGGCGCACGAGGCGAGAGCTGTGTGAGGCGAGCGAGGCGAAGCGCGGCTGGCGAGGCGAGCGGCATGGCGCTGTGGGGTGCGGGCCGGCTGTTAAGGCGAAGCTAGGTGGCTAGGAGAGGCAAGACGAGGCGCACGAGGCGAGAGCTGTGTGAGGCGAGCGAGGCGAAGCGCGGCTGGCGAGGCGAGCGGCATGGCGCTGTGGGGTGCGGGCCGGCTGTTAAGGCGAAGCTAGGTGGCTAGGAGAGGCAAGACGAGGCGCACGAGGCGAGAGCTGTGTGAGGCGAGCGAGGCGAAGCGCGGCTGGCGAGGCGAGCGGCATGGCGCTGTGGGGTGCGGGCCGGCTGTTAAGGCGAAGCTAGGTGGCTAGGAGAGGCAAGACGAGGCGCACGAGGCGAGAGCTGTGTGAGGCGAGCGAGGCGAAGCGCGGCTGGCGAGGCGAGCGGCATGGCGCTGTGGGGTGCGGGCCGGCTGTTAAGGCGAAGCTAGGTGGCTAGGAGAGGCAAGACGAGGCGCACGAGGCGAGAGCTGTGTGAGGCGAGCGAGGCGAAGCGCGGCTGGCGAGGCGAGCGGCATGGCGCTGTGGGGTGCGGGCCGGCTGTTAAGGCGAAGCTAGGTGGCTAGGAGAGGCAAGACGAGGCGCACGAGGCGAGAGCTGTGTGAGGCGAGCGAGGCGAAGCGCGGCTGGCGAGGCGAGCGGCATGGCGCTGTGGGGTGCGGGCCGGCTGTTAAGGCGAAGCTAGGTGGCTAGGAGAGGCAAGACGAGGCGCACGAGGCGAGAGCTGTGTGAGGCGAGCGAGGCGAAGCGCGGCTGGCGAGGCGAGCGGCATGGCGCTGTGGGGTGCGGGCCGGCTGTTAAGGCGAAGCTAGGTGGCTAGGAGAGGCAAGACGAGGCGCACGAGGCGAGAGCTGTGTGAGGCGAGCGAGGCGAAGCGCGGCTGGCGAGGCGAGCGGCATGGCGCTGTGGGGTGCGGGCCGGCTGTTAAGGCGAAGCTAGGTGGCTAGGAGAGGCAAGACGAGGCGCACGAGGCGAGAGCTGTGTGAGGCGAGCGAGGCGAAGCGCGGCTGGCGAGGCGAGCGGCATGGCGCTGTGGGGTGCGGGCCGGCTGTTAAGGCGAAGCTAGGTGGCTAGGAGAGGCAAGACGAGGCGCACGAGGCGAGAGCTGTGTGAGGCGAGCGAGGCGAAGCGCGGCTGGCGAGGCGAGCGGCATGGCGCTGTGGGGTGCGGGCCGGCTGTTAAGGCGAAGCTAGGTGGCTAGGAGAGGCAAGACGAGGCGCACGAGGCGAGAGCTGTGTGAGGCGAGCGAGGCGAAGCGCGGCTGGCGAGGCGAGCGGCATGGCGCTGTGGGGTGCGGGCCGGCTGTTAAGGCGAAGCTAGGTGGCTAGGAGAGGCAAGACGAGGCGCACGAGGCGAGAGCTGTGTGAGGCGAGCGAGGCGAAGCGCGGCTGGCGAGGCGAGCGGCATGGCGCTGTGGGGTGCGGGCCGGCTGTTAAGGCGAAGCTAGGTGGCTAGGAGAGGCAAGACGAGGCGCACGAGGCGAGAGCTGTGTGAGGCGAGCGAGGCGAAGCGCGGCTGGCGAGGCGAGCGGCATGGCGCTGTGGGGTGCGGGCCGGCTGTTAAGGCGAAGCTAGGTGGCTAGGAGAGGCAAGACGAGGCGCACGAGGCGAGAGCTGTGTGAGGCGAGCGAGGCGAAGCGCGGCTGGCGAGGCGAGCGGCATGGCGCTGTGGGGTGCGGGCCGGCTGTTAAGGCGAAGCTAGGTGGCTAGGAGAGGCAAGACGAGGCGCACGAGGCGAGAGCTGTGTGAGGCGAGCGAGGCGAAGCGCGGCTGGCGAGGCGAGCGGCATGGCGCTGTGGGGTGCGGGCCGGCTGTTAAGGCGAAGCTAGGTGGCTAGGAGAGGCAAGACGAGGCGCACGAGGCGAGAGCTGTGTGAGGCGAGCGAGGCGAAGCGCGGCTGGCGAGGCGAGCGGCATGGCGCTGTGGGGTGCGGGCCGGCTGTTAAGGCGAAGCTAGGTGGCTAGGAGAGGCAAGACGAGGCGCACGAGGCGAGAGCTGTGTGAGGCGAGCGAGGCGAAGCGCGGCTGGCGAGGCGAGCGGCATGGCGCTGTGGGGTGCGGGCCGGCTGTTAAGGCGAAGCTAGGTGGCTAGGAGAGGCAAGACGAGGCGCACGAGGCGAGAGCTGTGTGAGGCGAGCGAGGCGAAGCGCGGCTGGCGAGGCGAGCGGCATGGCGCTGTGGGGTGCGGGCCGGCTGTTAAGGCGAAGCTAGGTGGCTAGGAGAGGCAAGACGAGGCGCACGAGGCGAGAGCTGTGTGAGGCGAGCGAGGCGAAGCGCGGCTGGCGAGGCGAGCGGCATGGCGCTGTGGGGTGCGGGCCGGCTGTTAAGGCGAAGCTAGGTGGCTAGGAGAGGCAAGACGAGGCGCACGAGGCGAGAGCTGTGTGAGGCGAGCGAGGCGAAGCGCGGCTGGCGAGGCGAGCGGCATGGCGCTGTGGGGTGCGGGCCGGCTGTTAAGGCGAAGCTAGGTGGCTAGGAGAGGCAAGACGAGGCGCACGAGGCGAGAGCTGTGTGAGGCGAGCGAGGCGAAGCGCGGCTGGCGAGGCGAGCGGCATGGCGCTGTGGGGTGCGGGCCGGCTGTTAAGGCGAAGCTAGGTGGCTAGGAGAGGCAAGACGAGGCGCACGAGGCGAGAGCTGTGTGAGGCGAGCGAGGCGAAGCGCGGCTGGCGAGGCGAGCGGCATGGCGCTGTGGGGTGCGGGCCGGCTGTTAAGGCGAAGCTAGGTGGCTAGGAGAGGCAAGACGAGGCGCACGAGGCGAGAGCTGTGTGAGGCGAGCGAGGCGAAGCGCGGCTGGCGAGGCGAGCGGCATGGCGCTGTGGGGTGCGGGCCGGCTGTTAAGGCGAAGCTAGGTGGCTAGGAGAGGCAAGACGAGGCGCACGAGGCGAGAGCTGTGTGAGGCGAGCGAGGCGAAGCGCGGCTGGCGAGGCGAGCGGCATGGCGCTGTGGGGTGCGGGCCGGCTGTTAAGGCGAAGCTAGGTGGCTAGGAGAGGCAAGACGAGGCGCACGAGGCGAGAGCTGTGTGAGGCGAGCGAGGCGAAGCGCGGCTGGCGAGGCGAGCGGCATGGCGCTGTGGGGTGCGGGCCGGCTGTTAAGGCGAAGCTAGGTGGCTAGGAGAGGCAAGACGAGGCGCACGAGGCGAGAGCTGTGTGAGGCGAGCGAGGCGAAGCGCGGCTGGCGAGGCGAGCGGCATGGCGCTGTGGGGTGCGGGCCGGCTGTTAAGGCGAAGCTAGGTGGCTAGGAGAGGCAAGACGAGGCGCACGAGGCGAGAGCTGTGTGAGGCGAGCGAGGCGAAGCGCGGCTGGCGAGGCGAGCGGCATGGCGCTGTGGGGTGCGGGCCGGCTGTTAAGGCGAAGTGAGGTTGGCGAGGCGAACGAAACCTGGCGTGGCGAGCGCAGCGCGGCGAGGGCTGCTGGCGCTGCGAGGCAAGTGGAGCGAGGCGCAATGTGGATGAGCGTGATCCCAAACGAGCGGCGACGGAATCGGGCTCGGTGCGTGATTGGTCTCCTCCGGGTCTTGTTCAGGAAGGGTAGAATCCCATCCTCGTCGCCAGTGAAAAGTACTCAGAAATGTGGAGTGATTTCAGCAGAGTACTTCTATTTAGCAGGAACAAGACAAGGACTGCCGGCTCGCAGGCCGGTATATATGCCCAGAGAAAACCACCACCAAAACACACCCCCTACTTCCTATAGGCTATTTACAGTAGCCGAGAGTCCCATAGGCTTTCGGCTGCGGACGTGGCCCTCTGATAGGTGCGGGCTAGGATCCGCTGGGCTATTGTTCTCCCTGAGCGAAGCTTCAGGACTGTGCTTGACCGCATGGCCCAACGGTCGCGCATGTGGTAATGGCGGAGTACATTACAGAATCTCTCCTGGGGTCTACCGCTCTTACCCCCTTCAACCCCCCCCCAGTGCCCCTGGGGGAAGCGGGGGAAGCAGTGACCCTGGGGGAGTGCAGGCTAATTTTCCCTGGCCCCTGCATTCTCCTATGCACCCCCAAAGCGCATGACGTGCCCGGCGTGAACACATCACCTGGAGGTGACACAATCGCGTCGGGCACGTTGCAGGGGGGCGTTCTATCATCTGAGGGAAAACTCTATAGTTTCCCCTTGGATTATTGTGGCCCCGCCCCCAACGTGCGCAATGCGATTGTGTCACTTTCCGGGTGATGTGATTGCGGTGCGCGTGCTTTGTGCGTGCGCCAGGAAACTCTCGGGGACATCCGGGACTCCCCCTGCTATTACAAAGGTAGGACTTGGCAACCCTATTTGGGTCTCATCTGCGGTCTGGTCTCACAGAGGGGACAGGCTCATCTGGTGAGAGGAGGAGATCCCTCACGTGGCTGAGAGTGCATACAAGTAGTGTAGCCTGGCAGGCTGTGGGCCTGGAAGTAGTAACCAGTTAAGGAGTAATAGGTAGCTGCGTTAACTTTATGTTTCTTTTGGCCTTTCAACACTGTTATGTATTTTAAAGCACCTTGTCTTGTCATGTTTTTCCCCTGCCCAGTACTGTGATAATAAACCCTTTCTGTTTAATTGTTTCTCTGCCTTGGTCATCACGCTTACGTTTCTCAGCTACAAAGAGGCAATTTGAAGGGGCTTGGGAGGGTACCCTGGGCCTTCTCAAGGGACCCAAATTCCAGGGTGGTGGTGGCAGAAGGTGGCAACCCGCTGGGGTCATGACAATGTTAAATAAAGGAAATACTGTAAGGGTGTATTTTAAGCATGTTTGTATGCTGAGTAAAAATAATATCTTGAACTGGGTTTGCCTGTATCTTTTATAAAACTCATATCTTTGGTATCTGACATTACATTTTATGGTACACAAGGGTGACCAGAAAGAGTGACATTGATGTCAGATCTGGCCCTCGTAACAAATGAGTTTGACACCCCTGTAAGGCATCATACTATGGCCAACCATCCAATCATGACAGCATGACTTTTGCAACTTGGCCAAGCTTTTTGCATGGGGAGGCTACAGGTGAGGGGAGGAAAAGATGAGAGCCGGTGTGGCGTAGTTGTTGCTGTTTGACCATAGTCACTCTCTCTCAGCTTAATTTACCTAAGGAGGGTTATTGTGAGGATAACAGGAGTTGGAGGAGAAGGATGTAAACTCCTTTGGGTCCCCAGTGGGTGGAAACGTGGGGTATAAATAAAGTAAATAATGCAGAAGGTAGCGGGGCAGATAAAAAAATATTGACTGGTGAGTGGCAAGGAGAGAAGGAAGCAGGGACTGCAGAGAGAATATGGGGATTCCCTGAAGAGAGAAAGAGTAGCGGGGAGGTATACTGGGGAAGATGAGGCATCCTCCACAAGTCCTTGTGGGTTCCTCGCTTGTCTAACATAATTGCAGGAGGGGTGCCCCTCCCTTTTTAGGAAGGGGGGTGGGGATGGATTATCAGCTATCCATAAATGATGCTGGCAAATAATGCCAAGAGAAAGTAATAGAAAATTCTGGATAAGTATAAAGATTTTACATAAGTGCTTCAGGTGATTATAGACAAAGTTCTTTATTTGCTCAGGGTAAGATTAACATTTTAAGATCAACATTTTAAATTGCCTTTCACTTTGTTCTTTCATATAGCACCAACACCTTTACCTGAAACAACAGTGACCATTACTTCAGGTAAGCTTTCAGGCTGAAATTCAAATTCAGCATCTTTTAAATTAACTCAGGCCTGTTCCACATACTGACCTTACTCCTGACCTTCTGTGTGGTCGATCTTCAAGTTTTGGAATCAGCTTGGAATTGAGCACTCCACACTTCGTCCTTCCCCCCATACAATTTCCTGCTTTAAATTCAGTGTTTTTCTATTTGCAGTGGATCATAATCCAGTTTTAAAGTTTGAGGGCAGCAATCAGAGATGTTGTCATCACTGCCATCAGATCACCTTCCCCTTTTTAAATAATTTGTGCAAGCACACTAGCAGTACTGTGAACTAGCATTAAATTGAGATCAGTCACCCAACATGTCACTTGTTTTAAAAAGAAGACCACTACAACTTGGCTACTGATCATGTGTTATCCTGTGCCATTTTGAGTAACACGCTGGTGAAAGTCCATTCCAATAAACGCAGATAAACACAAATAAGAGTGATATGTACCGCAAAATAACATGAAAACAATTTCCCCCACTGCCAGCTATGGAAAACTACATATCACCCTGGGTGAAGGGGATTACTAAAACCAAAGGCGGGAAAAGGTGTGTGTGTGGGGGGGGGGAGATGATTTGTGCATGCTGCTGAAGAAATTAGGAAACTGGCAGTAAAGTTGGAACTTTATGAACATATCACAATAGGGAACATTAGCAAACATTGATGCCATTGGTACAATGCAAGCGAAGAGATGACGGGGGGGGGCTCACAGTTTAGAGGAAAATAATCAAAATAATCAAAGCAGAATAAGAATAATAAGAATTGTAGAGGGGTGAACAGTTGCCTTTAAAATAACACATTTATGCGCTATCACACATATGACCATCTAGAAATAATAGCATTTAGCTATCATTAATGGACTATCGCTAAATCTCCATTATATCCAAATATATATATATTGCCAGCCAGAGGGCAGGGTGGAGGGGAAAGAGGGATGGAAAAGGTAGGAGGTAGCATGGATGAGGATGTTCAAAGGGGTCATAGATTACTGCTGCAAAAAATAACAATCCAAGGGTTTTGGATATGGGATCAAGCTGATTTACAATCAGCTTGAAAATAAAATCACCCTATAAGTGCTCTGAAAAAAAAACCCCAAAAACCTGACAAAACTCTAACATTGACCTGACATGGAGAAAATGAGTGGTGGGATGAAAAATTAGAAACATTGCAACATGATTGTATATCCAAAATAAAATACATATGCAGAACAGGCCTCAGTCTCTAGCTCATGAATGAAAGTCGGTACAATAAAGTGTGTTTGACTTGGTCTTTTGTTCTCCTTTGCTCCTTCTAGCCACCTTAGTTACTACATCAACACAAACTACAGCAGGTACATATTTTCCCCTTAATATTTGCATTTCATAGGGTGTGCTTTAATACCTCCCTTTCTCCTCCTGTATCACCCCTAATCATCTCTTTAGACTTCATCCACATGTAATGCAAAACTGTAGTTGGTTACTATAGGAAGAGACTGGAATTGCTTACACAATACCTCCTTTATCTGTAGGCCCACAAAAAACAGTATTTCTTGTCTCTAACAGCTCCTGCAGTTACTACTGAAACATCTTCAGATCCTGGTAATTTCGTTATTCGTGGTGGTGGTGGTGATGGTGAATGCACAATAAAATATTTATTTTGTGGGGAGCTTACACTGCTGGATCTTTTGTATTCCTTTAGTATTTTTGTACATCAGATTCTTCCTTGAGTGGCAAAATGGCATCCACAAAACCCATTGCTAGGAATGTTTCTAGAATCCATTTTTACTTAAACTTCACAGCCAATAGCCCCTATCCACTTACTCCTGCTTAAGGCCATGATGAATTGTGAAAAGGGTAACATATTGACTTGAACTATCCTGGCACAGCAAGACAGCTGCTGGAAATGAATAGGAAAGGACCTGTCCCATAGAACTTGTCTGTCTTTTGGGAGTATCTGCTGCTTTTTCGATGTAATAAAAGGGAGGGTGCCAACTCTGCATTCAAAATCATGGAGGTGCCTCCATGAATTGACTAACACTTGGTTTCCATCATCTTAATGACATTCATGACAAATGTCTGCAGGGGCTGCCACCACCGCCCTCCAGACGAAGATTCCCTCTGTCCCCTTCATTCAGAATACACACTCAAAATGCTCAATTAGAACAGGTAGACTGCTGCTGTCCCCCAATGGCACTTTGCACAACTTTTGAGATCCCCAGAGTTCACTGGAATTTTAGTCCTACTCTTCCAACACCCCTAAAAATAAGAACTAGATCCAAAAAATATCAGGGGAAGAGGAAATGCAGTAACCACCTAATTTCTAAAAAGAGAGAAGCTCATGCTCAAGCCTTCCTAAAAAGCCCACAACTCCCTGTTTCTAGTTTTGCTGATCCCTGCTGAGGTAGAAATAAGGAGCACAGACAGAAAGTCTCTACATAGGAATAAATTGCACCAATCTGTTCCAGTGCTACTTACTAATGTAGTATTGTGTAGCTTGAAATGTCAGCATGTCAGTGACAGTCAGTTATTTGTAAGCATGGGTTCACCTGGGGAAGAATAAACGCTATTTATCTCAGATTACACTGACATGAGATATGGAGAATACACTGGAAAATGTGAATAACCTTGCAGGTTGAATAATAGGCTTGCATTTATTGATGTACTATCTCACTTTTTGGGTCCACATACTGTCCTGTGGCCACAAAGACTGTCAGGAGTGTCCACACAATACAACAAGGCAGTATCAGGACTGCCTAATAAATAAAATTTAAAACCTACATAAAATAGGCGAACAGTTATATTGAAACTGTGTAATGAGAAATTGAATATTCCATTTCTGATGCGTACACATGCACATACTCAGCACCTCAGGAACAATTCTGTATTCTTTGCTGACATTTCCTGATAACTTTTTCTTTTTCTCTGCCCAGTTACATTGACATGTGAACCAGAAAAGATGGTGGCAGTTATTAGTAAATCATATATTCATTCAAAAGGCTGTTCTCCAAAGGATTTGCGTTTAAATAACCAGTACTTTAGGTATCAGCTGACAGAACACAATGCTGTCGTCTCAGTCCCATATAAAGCCCAGGGGACAAGAGCAGAGGTAAGAAACAGAATATCTGAAAACACCACATATGATTTTATTACTTTTACTTAAGAATTAAAGCATTAAGCATAAAATAGCTGTTTACATTATTGTTTCTTTGACAAATACAAATACATACTGGTGATGTATATTCATAGAATGGGGTTAGCAGTTGTTATACCCCATATTAGTATCACTGAAAACATAACCAGTGGATAGTAAGAGGTATACAGATAACTGTTGACCTCATTCAGGAAAATCCCAAGCAGGAAAAAAAATTAAACTATATGTTGGGCATGATGTGTCCACCAAAGCCGCCCATTATTTATTCCATACTGATTAATGCAGAATTCAATAGAGTTAATATATCCTGGGATATGGAATGGTATGATATAGCCTGATCTTGTCAGATCTAGGAAACTAAGCAGGGTCGGTACTTGGATGGGAAGACTCTGCAGTGGAAGGCAATGACAAACCCCCTCTGATTCTCACTCGCCCTGATAGCTCCTTGATAGGATCACCACAAGTGAGGTGCGACACCCCAATCCAAATCAGAACTATACAATTGTACATAAACTTAGAGTGTCTAAGTTGTTGGGAACTTGTGGAAAAATAAGTGTTGAAAAGTAATTCCCTTCCCTAATCCAACTGTAGGAGATGCCTGCACACAGCCCTTAAAAAACCCTGATACTCTGCCAATCACAGGGATAATGCAAACACTGAAATGCGTTATTTTCAAAATATGAAGCTACTGAGCCCCTCACAAAATGAAGGAGCTGCAAATGCACTATAAAAGGACCACAGAATCTTTGGTGTTATTGGAATCATTGGTATATTATCTATGCTGCAATCCCCAGACAATGCAAAGTGTAAAGGCTTGAATATGCTGAAGATATTTAAACCAGGCCATTGCACCAAAAGAAAATGCCCACGTGGCCAGAAGCACAACAATGGATATGTCATCCTGTTGAAATGAAAGCCATATAGTTTCACTAGTAATGGAATATGGTGCAATCCAAAAGATAGTTACATAATTAGGTCCTTTGGCTTCAGTGAACTTAGAAGGGTGTAACTGCTTAGGACTGTGATCTGCCTGTTTGGTGAATTTCTTTCTTTCTTTCTTTCTTTCTTTCTTTCTTTCTTTCTTTCTTTCTTTCTTTCTTTCTTTCTTTCTTTCTTTCTTTTTCTTTCTTTCTTTCTTTCTTTCTTTCTTTCTTTCTTTCTTTCTTTCTTTCTTTCTTTCTTTCTTTCTCCATCAAGTCACAGCTGACTTATGGAGAACCTGTGGTGTTTTCCAGGCAAGAGATGTTCAGAAGTAGTTTGCCATTGCCTGCCTTGGTGTTCCTTGGTGGTCTCCCACCCAAATAGAGTTGACCCTGCTTAACTTCTAAGATCTGATGAGATCAGGCTAGCCTGGGCTATTCAGGCCAGGGAGAAAGACATTTAACTTTTATTCTCTTTTTTAATACTGTGCTTATGATTTGTGTAATGTTTAACAGAGAACTGGGGATATTATCAACTATATGAACACTATCAGCTGCTCTGGAATCAGTAATGGGATTAGGAGAACAGTTCTGATCCGCTGTATCTGCAAAATAAACCAACAGACAACAAAAGAAGAAACTCACATAGTTGATGAGTCTGACTCCACAGGAAAGGACCAGATGCCAAATGGACAAATGAAAATGGACTTTTTTTTCTACTCGCATCCATCTTCGCACCAAATTCGTAATGCGCCCTACTATGTTAATGTGAATCAGAAGGCAGATATCCAAGTCACTCTGACTGTGTATTCTACACTTTGGGTGTTATCGCCACGTATTTGTGTAGCTTATCCTAAAGCAAATGGCTTCAAAACTAATGCACATTATATGATAAAGGATGGGTAAGCAAAAAGGAAAAAAAGTATTTCTGATTTAATAATCAATATTTTCCTGTTCCTTATATAGTATCAGTCAGAGCCCCGTTTTTGTTTCAGGGTTGTTGTTGTTTTTGTCCCAGTCAGAAAAACTTTCCTTCTCCCTTCCCAGTTGTTTCTTGGAATCTATCCTGCCGGTACTCTAAGCTCTCCACACTCATCATTTTATTCTTGGTACCAAACATATCTGCAATACGCACTCCATCTTCTGCTTCACCCTGCCGGATTTATGCCATCTTCTGTTCTGGATTGCTTCAGTCTCTCCATCTCCTGAGACATGCTGCAACAAATTTATTTGCTTCGTCCCTATGCCCCCACAGTGTCCTTCATTCTTGCACTAGTCTTTCTGACCATATTGCACATCTCTTACTTCCAGGGAACCCACTACAACAAGTTAAACATTAGGAAGGGAATGTGTGTGAACTGTATTTTCTCCTTGGAAGGGGCAGCTAGTGGGACTGAGCCAAGGAACTTTGAAGCTATGGTCCTTTCCATGTACCACCCTTGCACTCCAAGCACTGTTTTGTGACCTGTCTTAAATATAAACATGAACTAAGGAAATAATCTATCTAGTTGGCTTGGAGCACATCAAAAAGCTTCCTGTAGTCAAGGGTTCAGCCTAACAAACTTCCTCCTCCAATAGAGTAACAATAGAGATCAAATGTTAGAATTATAAATGATTTTTCTTTAATTAATCTGCTAAGAATGATATAATCTAATTAGTTCAATAGAATATAAAGCTACCAATATGTTTTAATTCTGCATTATGCTTATTGGGGAGAGGGTAAAAGTCCATTTCGGTCCCACCTGCCCCCCGAAAATTTGATCACTTGCCAATACACTGTCATAAACCTTCCCAATAGGGCATTAACTTTCTAGTACTGACCAAAATATCCAGATCAAAATGGACCTAACCCTCAAATTGGCCTATACAACTTGTGATCCACTAAACTAACCACAGCCCACCAGGCATGCATTATGGTCTGGCAGGTACTTGAACTACCCCACATAATTGTTTTATTGCCTGTGAGAAGAAGGAAAAATTGGATTTATTAACCACTGATGCTGCCACATAGGGATGTGGGAATTATTTGGTTAGGTAAATATCAAGGGTGTTCATGTATTCATCTTTAATACTAAAAATGAGTTATAGAACATTAACACAATAAAATAACACACAATTTTAGAGGAAGGCAAAATAAATGTATGTATAAGAAATTATTATAACTACTTCAGAAAACTGCCTTTTGTATAACTTTAACATGTTTTTTTTAAAGTTCTTGTTCTCCCTATAGTGTTCTTTCTGGTTTTATTTCCAAATTGATTAAATTATATTGACGTAAAGAAAACCCACCAAAGTTGTGTCCAAACCATTAATAACATAACACAGTCTCTTGTTTTTGTACAATGGATAATGAAGAATAAAGTGCTTATTCTTTTTATTTCAGGTGTCCATGTGAACCTACGTTCAACTATTATTATTTAGGAAACAGAAGAACTGTGCAGTTCAGATTTAAATCATACACCTCTGACTCCAAACCTATAGCTTCCATGAAATGCTGGGTTCTGGTGTGCCGCAAAAATGATTTGAACTCCGAATGCTACCGGGGCTGCCAACGTAGGCATAAGAGAGAAGCAAGCTCTGATTCTGAACATGGGCAAGTTCTTGGGCCATTTAAGCTTGAGTAACCTGAGGAAGTCAAACCTGGAAATTTCAGTGTGATTCCTAGGAATTTCTATCAAGTACAATATAATAAATAATAAATCAGGTCATGGTATCTTTCTCTTTTATTGAATTACAGAAGTAAATAATCACCCATGTAGGCAGTTAGAGATGTTATCACTGTGTGATATTGGAAAATGCTCCTTTTATCTGGCCTTGCCATTCCTTTAAATCAAATATCAGTTGATTCCGCATGAAAGAGTAATCTTGGCTCCAGTCACATGGGCCGGAAAACGCGGGGGGGGGAGCGTGGCTGTTTGCCCCAGGGCAAAATAATGTGCGGTTGTGCGAGCAGACGTCCCGTGGAGGTCCCATGGTTAGGGGGCAGGTGCCGATCACAGGACAATCCTGCGGTGCTGCAAAGAAGCGGGGCCGCGGGGCAAATGGGGTTGTGGGGTTTTTTTAAACTAAAGTGTGCACATGCTCCGTTGGGTGCTTGTGCGCATCCATGGAGACTTGGGGGAAAAAAACCTTTTTGCGAGGGGACATGGGCGGGCGCCGGAACTACCACCGGAAACGCGATCAGACGCCCGCCCATGCCCTGCAGTTTCCGGAAACTAGTACCTCGGAGGTACTAGTTTTTTACAGTGCATCTTCGGAGTGAAGCCTCAGGTGAGCCACGGGAGCTCTATGCTTCCCAGGTGTGGCGGTGAGATCGCGCCTGGAAAATCTGCCTATCTTCCGTCTCTCTAGCGTGCCTAATGCTCTGTGTGACCGCAGCCCTTGATTAATTTTCTCAGGGACTTAACAAAATAAAGCTATCTGGAAAAGCTTCATGTTTTGTGTATCTGGTCTTCATGAGTCCCCCCTCCCTGTTATTTAGTGGGCCACTGCCAGGCCTTTAGACAGTTTGTACCAAAACAACTGTGACACCTTAAAGGAAAAGAAGCGTTTAATACTACAATAAGCCTTCTTTAGTCCAGAAAAATTCATGGTGGAATATTTTTTAGTCTTTTACACTGCCACAAGATTTCTATTTGTTTATATACCCTGGTAATGCAAAGTTGGGTAAATGCGAGTTCTTACCACATGGTGAATCATCCAGAAGAGATTTTATCTGTGTCTAGAGTATAGGATATTGTTGCCGGATCAAAATCCAATTACCCTGGCACACATCATGAAGTGGCTTAGAAATGTTGCTCATAGGCTCACAGGGCTCACAGCAGTAGTACGTGATTCCCATCCATCCCTTGAAAGCTGGTCAACACATCAGTTCTATATAGTTCAACATATCCCGTTTAGGCAACAGAATGCAACAAGCAGAGAGCAGGTACAACCCAGACAGATCCCTGAAGAGACAAGCCAAGAGAGTCAGACAACACATTTTAAGAAAAGGAAGGGTTAATCTTGCCAACAGGAAAAATCTTGATTCTCAAATATAATTAGTGGTCAGCCATATTACTGAACATGAGAAAAATCTATTAAAGGACTCCTCTGGCCTGGCCTGTGGGTGTGTCTGGAGCTGAGAACAAACTTGTCAATATAAACCAAAGAGGAGTTCATATCATGCTTTCCCACAGCGTTAAGTGTGGTTGGCAACTGGCTCATGGAGCTCCTATGTAAGTCTAGCCATAGGTCAATGTACAAAGAGCCTCAAATTTCTTATGTAGATAGATAAATGAATGCCATCCTTGTAGCTTACAACACTGAGCAAGATTATTACTTGTTCTTCAAGAGGAGTTATGTAGAGCACTGCACTGTTATAGCTCCCAGAACCAAACAACAGACAAAGCCTGTTTGCCCTTGAGTTATATTGTTACTTATGTCAAGCTTTTACTGTAAAGAAAAACAATGATCCCAAATTCTTGCTACGTCTGGTTCCAAATCAATGTGGAGAACCTTGTTGTTTGAGCTAGTTCCAAAGCCTGCCCTTGAGTGATGTGGTTGCCGAAGGATTAACCATTTACGGACTGTCCTGCACTTGCTGAATTTCACATTAAATACATTAAGGCTGCATTAGATGAACTAGATGTCAGTTTTCCCAGGCTACCATGTATATTTACACAGCTGCATGTAACTTTCTAATCACACAGCCTCACATATTATACCTCCCTTTGCCTAGAATATCTATGTGCACACATATACTTCTAGCTTTTGTGATGTAGTTTATGGTATGAGTAATACTACACCTGTGGCTCTGTCAAGGTCAGTGACCGATGGCATGGAAAAACTTAATAACTGTGTTCTGTTCTTTCTCTTAAAAATAAATACATTGAAGAACTTGTCTCCCCCGCTAGATCTTCTTAATCCTTTTTGTATATTTCTAACATCTGGTTTTACTATTACCTCTCCCCCATACTTTTTGACAATGATCAGAGGTCTACAGATATTATGACCTCCTTGTGAAGAGGGTTACAGACCTTAATAAGCCTGGCAGATCCTGTTTTAAACACTTCAGCTGCTTTGCAAATCAGTTGGTGGGGGGGAATTGCTGGTAAATCTGAATTTGCCAGATATTTTCACTGAATTTGCTAGATATTTTCAATGCCATGGTGTTGCAAACTGAACATTTGCAGAGTATATTGACAGGTATCAGTGTATTTAATTCTCAATGTGGCAAAAAAATAATAATCTGTGGATACTTAAATCCAGAGATTGCAACCATGCAGGAATGCACTGGGAAGTGAAAGTGGTCCCGGAACAAGCCAAAGGTGGAGCAATACTACAAACGTCACCCAGTTAGCAGTGCAAGCAATGGTTATTAGTGCATCCATTCTTCCTTCCTGAAAACCAGCTGCAATATGGGACAAGACAATTGATGGACTGAAGCCAGCTACCATTGCCAATGAAGGATCTGAGCCAAGTGGCTCCCGAGGCTCTGGCAAAGTTGCTAGAGCTTGATTACATTTGGTCCTGGCCACCAGGAAATTTCCCTTAAGTTAAATGGCTAGTCCACCCATGGAGCCATGAACAGACAGGATAGGTCTTTCACCAAACCTGAGAAAAGCCCCAGGGATACAGAAAAAAATTAAAAAATATTTCCATGTTTTTTAAAAAACACCTGTACATTTAAGAAATAAATGCCCTCAGTGGCCATTGCTAGACAACCACAATAATATTGCCAGCCTTCAAGTCTTGGTTTCCATCTGTAAAAGGTAGGGGTATGAGGCAAGGCCCTATCCCAGGTGGTTTTTGCCTTTGACCCTCATAAGGGCCAGGCCTTCCAGCAACCACTGTGTCACTTGATACCACATTACTTGCATGACTCACCAAGGACTAGCTTCTTGCCACTGTTCAACAGCAGCCATGTCATGAAAGCCAGTGTGGTGTAGTGGTTAGAATTTCAAACTAGGATCTGGGTGGCCGAAGTTCAGATTGCCACTGTGCTGTAAAAGCTTACTGGGTGGCCTTGGACTGGTCACACAATCTCAGCATTACCTACCTCATACGGTTGTTGTGAGAATAAAATGGAGGAGAGGAAAAGGATGTAAGCCACTTTGGGTCCCCATTGAGGAGAAATGTGGGGTATAATAAAGTGAATAAAAATATAGCTGAAGATGAACGGGGAGTTATAAGGTAGACTAGTTGTTGGGTGTAGCTATTAGCCACAAGGTATAGATAGAAACTTTCAGGCTGGGGCAAGTGATGCACTGTATTCTTGGTGCTTGGGGGGGGGGGCAACAGTGGAAGGGCTTCTAATGTCCTGGCCCCACTGCTGGACCTCCTGATGGTACCTGGTATTTTTGGCCACTGTGTGACAGAGTGTTGGATTGGATGGGCCATTGGCCCAATACAACATTGGCTTCTCTTATGTTCTCTTATGTGGAGAGAAGGAAGGAAAAGGGTATGGGGGATTCCAGGAAGAAGAAAAAAAAGAAATCGCGTAGGAAGGGGATACAGCCAAAAAAAAAATGAGGTGCACCCTGCAAGTCATTGTGGGTTCCCCACTGTGCAATTGGGCCCAGCTAGGTGGCCAACATGGTGCAACTGAGCCTCGTCTTCCTTCATGCAGAGGCTACCATGGGGAAGGCAGGATGGAAAGCTGAGAACAGGAGGGCAAGTAAAATATGTTTGCTGGTTGGTGGGAAGGAAAGAAAGAAGCCGGAAAAGGAGAGAGAATATGGGAGCTTTCAGAGAAGGAAAAGGGGATGTTAGCCGAATTGCTTTATTTACAGCAATTGGCAATTTATAAATGGGTTCTTGCCAGTTTATACCAAGGTCCTGTTCCCACCAAGGGTTACCAGTAAAGGATTTGAGGAGGTTGTGATTAAAATAGATGTCTTTTACTTGAAAATATATCTCATACAAACAATACTGATGCACTCACACATTCAATCAAGTTCCTAAGAATTACAGTACTAAAATAAGCATGGCTGCATTAGCAGGTAGGAGTGATGATGGGCGATAGTTATCTGTCTTGCAGCTTGGTTGTCCCAATGAAGAATGGGCGGGAAGGAATGGAAAATAAAGGGAATTCACACATGACCAGAACCAGCCAGAACATGTGGGTCTCTTGACTGCAGATCAAGAGATCAAAGTAGAGGCAAGGGTTGGGGATAACAAGTGGGACTCAAGGGGAATAAAAGCAGAAGGGGTTGATGCGGGGATTGCTAGCTAGGAAGGGCCGGGTGTATGGTCCTTCCCTTTTATAGGGGGTCCAAGAGATGGGTGGTAACTGTGCCAACCTCACGACCCACCTACCTGTTAGTCTGTCCCGAAAACAATGCTATTGGTTGCCTATGGGAAGGGGAGGTTACCTGAAGGGGTGGCCAATATTGTAACCTAAAACCATACTCAGAGTATGGCATCTGGACAGGTGTGAAAACCTAGGCGT